TTTTGTTTCTTTCCTCAAAAGTTAGAGCAACAAGAAGATTTTCCTTCACGTGAGATGGTTAATTATATTAGCAACTCGGTTAATGGCTGAATGCTAAATAAGTCAAACAACTCATGACAAATGAAGAGATATTTTTAAGTCAGGAGACATGAGCCAAGTTTTGTGAGAAAGAATGGGGGAGAGAAATAAAGGAAATTTCATTACTGTTAACTGAAGGTCAGTGTACATAAACTGTCTGTCGCCAAGAAGGCTGCTTTAAATGACCATGATGTTTGCATCCTGCCAAAGATACTGGAACATTTTCTCCACAACACTTCAGACTTGTATATGGAATTTCATTAGTGAGATGATGTGCTTCAAAACAACCATTCTAGAGCATACACTACAAAGTTTCAGTATCCCTTCACATCACCAAAGCATCTGGTTGTTTTGGTATTAATTTTACTTTAGCAGCCCCATCATAAGTATTGAGAGGGGAAGTGACCGCCCATGTACGTCGACCACATGTAACTATCACATTTTTTATCCAACCCTTCATTTAAGGAACACAATGCAATGTATATGACTTCCCACTTCCTCCTCCATTTTATCATCAAAACTACTAACCTGTGAGGTGAGTTAGTCTGAAAGAGAGTGACTGGTCCAGGGTTACCTTGTAAACTTTATGGCTAAATAGAGACTTGAACTTTGGTCTCCCCAGTCCTAGTACAACAGGTCAACTACTATGCCACACGAGCCCTGTGCACTGACTGAATGCATAGAGAGGGAGAGCAGACACAAGTGTGCTGGCTCCAGTCCCGCCTTGTGAACATGGTGCCTATGCACAGCAGAAGTGTCCATTCATATGCCCCTCCCAGTTTTGAAAAATGTAAACAAAATATCTTTTTTGCAAAAATATTTATAGTATTAAGCAAAAATATTTGTAGTATTAAGCAAAGTGCAAAGTACAAAGTGTATAATTACATTAAAAGACTTACAAGCCTGACATAAACCCTGCTGAAATACAATCATAAAGGGACCGAGCCATCGTCTTTATGGTGTAAGAACAGAGAAAACCATTCACTTTAACAACCAAAGATAAGTCCCTCAAAGCATTAAGATGTCTAGGTTATTACACGACAGGCCTGCTTCAAATCAATATCTTATCAAGCTGTTAAGTCTTCATAAGGCTTGTGGGACTTCCACTAGTTTCCAAGAATTCACAAGTGCATGGCGGCCAGTGTCCCTAATGACAAGTATGAGATAGCCACTCCCTCCATGTATTGGGCATCCCCAATCA